ATTTAGGGAAACTGCTGTGCTCTCTCTGGGTTCCCTGTCTTCCCTTTTTTGCGGCTCCAAACTTTTCAGTTAGTAAACTGGGACAATTGTAGAGCTTACCTGGTTTTGCTTCCCATCTCTCAGTTATCACTTTCCTTCATTGTCCAATGTCTAATTCTTGGAAAACAGTTACATATTTTGTTTTGTTGTTGTTTTCAGCAGGAGGACAAATCTGGTTGTTGTTTGGAAGCAGAAGACTCTCTGTATGAATTTGACATATTTCCTCCCCCCAAGAAACACATTGTAGGTGGTGTGAGGGGAAATGGGGATCCAAATTGGTTATTAAAATGATCCCAATGAATCTTGAATGATGATCCTGAGATTCATTCCAGATCCTAAGGAAAAAATCACAGACTAAAGGTTAAGAACCCCAGACTAGTATTCTTTAGTGGGAACAGTGTCAGGGGCAGAGGGCCTTTGCCTTACCCTTTGAAAAAGGTAGGTATGTATAAGTTTGGACTATACCTTATGTATTCAGGCAGTGACAACTGATCTTTTTGAAGGGAAAGAGGTTGGGCTTGCTTATTCTCTCAGTAGTCTACAGCAGCAGCATAGCCCTTGAGAATAACTGCCACCTCAAGTCATATTGATTTGATGGATCATTATTACCATGGTGGGATGACTCTAGTAGTATGCTTTAGGGCTATAACACTGCCTAGACTGAGACGAAATTGTTACCAAATTGCCCTAAGGGTTTTGTGTGATAATGTGGCTTGTTTTACAGACATTGGACCAGATACTTCTAAGGCTTCTCCTTTTTCACAATGGCACCGAGTCCAATATTTTTATTATTATTTTGTTGAAGATATAATATCAAGAGGTTTCAGCTGTCTTGTATGGGATTAGTTTAAAATCTGCATTTGGTTTTTACTTTGCTATAAATTTGTATCATGTAAAAAATGAACAGTTATTGCTATCTTAACACAAATTCTTTATCAGGCCGTTCAGTTATTTTTGAGTGCTTACCATGTGTCAAGCCTGCTGTGCTTTGGATGATGAGTGGAGATATGGAATATGAAATGAGGGAGGTAATATTCCCCCTGTGTTCTGCAGAGATCAGTTTAGTCTAAGGCAGTGGCTCTCAAACTTTTTGGGTTCACACTCTTTTACACTCTTGAAAAATTGCTGTGGACACTAAAGAGCTGTTTATGAGGGTTATATCTGTTGACACCATATTATGAGTTAAAACTGATTTTAAATATTAACTTATTAAAACATAACAATGAACTTACTACATGTCAAATAACATTTTTCTGAAAATGTTTTCTAAAAAACAAAAAATTAGCAAGAAAAGTGGCATTGTTTTACATTTTTTAAATCCCTTTGACAATGAACTTACTACATGTCAAATAACATTTTTCTGAAAATGTTTTCTAAAAAACAAAAAACTAGCAAGAAAAGTGGCATTGTTTTACATTTTTAAATCCCTTTAATGTGTAGCTGAATGTCTAATATTTGAAATACAGGTAAAAAGGAAAACTGCATCAGTGGGCTCAATGAATTTTCTCCTTAGACAAGCTTATGGGTATCAGAAACAATCAGAAGATTGCTGCATGGACTTGGAATCAGAACAGAGGAGTCAGTTGAATACTCTCTAGCAGGAGTACACCTGCCGTAGTGATTGACCCTGGGTGAAGGATTACCATTCATGTAATAGGTGCTCAGTGAATATTTGTTGGATGATTAACAATCTTTGAGAGGTTTTTGGGTTGGTTTCATTGCTGGTGCTTTACCTTTTTACTGTACTTTAAGGAATAAATTGATTTGTGTGAAGTACTTTTAGCCCAAGATGGTTAAACTAGGCTGCTTCCCTGTATTGGGGGAATGAGAAAGGAAGATTCTATAGTAGTTTCTTCCAGAATTTAAATTGTTCTTTATCGAGGCTGTTGCTAATATAAATTAATGATATATGCCAAATTTTGTGGTAGTAAGTAATGCAGGTTTGAGAACTGGCATACCATTGAAAATGTCAATAGAAGCAGCTAACACTTTAGTGACTACTAAAGTATCAATTAAGCTTTGACATAAGTATCACAAGAAATCTTTCCATTAGCAAGTGTTCATTATTGCTTTGGAAGAATTCGAATTTAAGCAAAATATATATATATTTTTTTTTGTCTTTTTCCGTGTCCGGCAACGGATCGTAACCCTCAGTGTTGCCCCCGTACCGGACCGGGGACCGGCAACGGGATTGCAACCCTCGGTGTTGCTCCCGCGCCTCGCTCAGCCAGTGAGCGGGAACCGGTCTGTATGTGGGATCCGAACCCTCGGGCGGGAGCACCGCCACGCTTCCCAAGCTGCACACTTATCCAGTGCGCCACCGGGCCGGCCCTTAAGCAAAATATTTTAAAAGAACACATTGATGGTATAATGACACGGGAGCGCCGCCACGCTTCCCAAGCGGCACACTTATCCAGTGCGCCACCGGGCCGGCCCTTAAGCAAAATATTTTAAAAGAACACATTGATGGTATAATGACCATTTATAGAATGAAGTTATATAATTTACTAAGATAAAATAATTCACTAATATTTTTCCTTTTCTTCCTGCAGTTACCTTCAACTGTTCTGAAGTAGACGACCTTTCAAACCACTGTAGATATGGACAGAGAAGAAAGGAAGACTATCAACCAGGGTCAAGAAGATGAAATGGTAAATAGCTTTCATAATTTACTTGTGAAGTATGAAGAATTTATCTCTGTAATTTATTATTTTAGGGAGTAGAAAAGTACAATTATACAACAACAGCAGGTAAATCAAGGGGGTTCTTTCCTGGCTCTGGTTTTGAGTTGGGATTATGTAATATCTCTATTTGTTGGTTTTGCTGTAATTCCTTTTTTACTTGTGGACTGTTAAAACTTAGAGGAAAGAACTATGTTTTTGCATTTGGTGATTTAAGTTGTTACCTTAGCTAATACTTAAATATAATCCCAAATAAGAATTTCTAACTTTGATTTATAAAAAAGTTTAAGGATCAACTTAATTAAAAAAAATAATAATTCTCAGATAAAATATAATATGCCCTGTTAAATGTGAATTTCAGATAATCAGGGAATAAATTCTTAGTATAAATAAGTATGTTACAAACATTGCATAGGAAAAATGAAAAAAATTGTTAGTTATCTATTTGAAATTATAAATTTAACTAGGGTCCCTGCATTTTTATTTGCTAAATCTGGCCACCCTTGTTGGGGGTGAGGGTAGGGGCTGAAATGTTGGAAGTAATTTGGGTTAGGTGGACAAATTGATCACTTGTAGTGGTATTGGGATAATTAGGAAATCACGTGGAAAAAATAAAATTAAAATCTATCCCATCTAAATACAGTGGTGACATTCTGGATTATATCCTGGGACAGTAATAAGGCATTACGGGAAAAACTGTTGATCTCCTAAGACTGAGTCTGGTTAACGGTAATGCAGCAGTGGTAATCTTTTGATTTTGACAAATGTACTGAGATGTTACCATTAGAGGAAACTGGGCAAAGGGTGTGTAGGAACTCTGTAATATTTTTGCAACTTTTCTATAAATCTAAAATTATTCCAGAATAAAGTTTATTTTTTTTTAAAAACCCTACCTTATAACAAGATAAATTTTGGAAGAATTAAAAATGTACATGAAAATGAAATTATAAAAGTTCTTGGAAAGTATACAGCGAATATACCATGAGCGTATTTCAAAAAGTTTGTGGAAAAATGGAATTAAAAGATAATACGAATTTTTTCGTGAACCTCTTGAAGTACCCTTGTATGTTAGTAGGAAGGAATTTACTAAGCATAATATCAAATATAAAACCCTAAAGTATAAATATCAATGATTATAGCTACTTAAAAGTATAACCTTGACAATAAACTTGTTAAAAACAAAATTTAAAGGTAAATTTTAAATGGATTGGGAAAATATTTACAGTTTATGTGACAAGACAATAGTACCCATCTGGAAAACAAACAACCTGGGAATTTATTTATTGGCCATATCATTTGATAATTAATCTTGTGATCACTGTGTCCATGCAGGAGATTTATGGTTATAATCTAAGTCGCTGGAAACTTGCCATAGTTTTTGTAGGAGTGATTTGCACTGGTGGGTTTCTTCTTCTCCTTCTCTATTGGATACCTGAGTGGCGGGTGAAAGCGACCTGTATTAGAGCTGCAGTTAAAGACTGTGAAGTGGTGCTGCTGAGGACTACTGTAAGTTCATATATTTATTGATTGTTTGAGGTGTAAAATACTTTGTGTATACTTTGTTCAAAATAATAATGAAGGGAACATTGCTGCTAGGATGTAATGAAGAATGCTAAATTAGCATTTCTAAAGTATCTGTCTTTGAAGTGAATGTTACTACAGTGATTAGAGTTTAAAGGAATCTTAAAGATGATCACGTCTACCCTCTTCTTTTTATAGCTTTTGATGCTCTGAGAGATTAGATGCTTATTTGTCTTTTAAGGTACTGACTCTTTAGGATTATAGCACAGATCTCTCATTCACTAGGCCAGTAGCCTATCTACTATGTGATGCTGGTGCAGCTCAAGCTTTTTTTTTTTTTAAAATCCCAATTGGAAGAATTTTATAAGAGGTTTTAATATCTAGTGTCGCATATACATGGGTAAATTAAGATATTATGATCTTTTATGGACTATTGATGTGTGTGTCAGTGAAGTATGTCATAAAAATGGTGAACAATGAAAGCACTTCATGTTTAAATTTATACATCTTCGTGAACTGGTTTAACATTTAGTGAGTAAGAAGTGATGCTTTCTCAGTGAGGGATGAATAAATAATATAATGTAAAGAATGGAAAATAAAATACATGCTGTTATATACGTAATTGACTCTTCATCTTTCTTTCTCCCTTTTGCTCTTCTAAGGATGAATTTAGAACGTGGTTTTGTGCAAAAATTCGCTTGCTTTCTCTGGAAACTCAGCCATTTTCCAGTCCAAAATGTGTAACTAATAAGGTTTCAAATGGCCATGCAGTTCATTTAACTGAGAATCCAGCTGAAGAGAATAGGCATGGGATGAGTAAATATTCACAGACGCAGTCACAACAGGTATTGTGATCTTAGTGTCAAAAAGTTTCTTTTAAAAACCAGAACTGTTACATTTTATGCTATGCGTATAGCCTATAGTTTTGTGTTTGCAGTTATTGTTGCTTGAGATAAATTTATGTGGATATAAATCATGTGTCCCTATATATAGCACAGTTTTGGTGTTAATAAAAGAAACATTACATGTCACAATAAGTGATGATTTGCTTTTTGATGTGACATTTGTGTATATTCTACAGATTCGCTATTTCACCCACCATAGTGTGCAATATTTCTGGGATGATACCATTCACAATTTCGATTTCTTAAAGTAAGTATCTTTCTTTTGTTTGGATTATATTATTAATATCTCTATGTTCTAGTTAGGAAAGAATCCACTCTAGTGTTACATAAAATTGAAGAGGTTTTTAATGCATAACAATTATTTACTTATTTATTAACAACTTCCTGGTGTTATTTAAAGACTCATTAACCATTTTAAAATAAATGTCACCTACTACTTATACCATGGCAAAATTTACATAAAAGTTAGAATCAGTATGAAACCAAAATTTCTCTGAGTTCTTTCATTTTCACCTCAAAGTGAAATTTGACTACACATCATAGCCTATATTTTTTTTTTTTAAAGATGACCGGTAAGGGGATCTTAACCCTTGACTTGGTGTTGTCAGCACCACGCTCAGCCAGTGAGCGAACCGGCCATCCCTATATGGGATCCGAACCCGGGACCTTGGTGTTATCAGCACCGCACTCTACCGAGTGAGCCACGGGCCAGCCCCAATAGCCTATATTTTAACTAAGAGTATCTGGACTAATTCCTCCAAATTTGATGACAGTTCCATCCAGTTGTACTTGAGGAATGTAGTAATAGACAAACAGAAACTTTATTTTACTGTGTGGATGAAGAATGGGACATTGTCAAATGTGTCAAGCTGTTGGGTGGGACAAATTGGAGTAATCCCTTAAAATTTACTTTTTGTAAAACACTCATTGCTTAGAGTGCCAAAGGAATCCTTAATTCTAGCAGTACAAACAAGAATCATATTATGAACATTTAAAATATTCATACCTGGATTTTTCCTTAGACACACTAAAAAATTGAAATATTCCAGAATGGGCATGGGCATTTCCACATGCCTACTTTTAAGGACTATATCTGATTAAGAACCATGGCCTTAAAGAAAACTGCCAATGAGTTGCCATTTTGTTAAAAAAATTTGCCTTGTGCTGTGATCCTGCTGCCAGAAAAGTGGGAAAAAATGTCAAACATATTTGCTGTGTGGCTTTTGCCAAACATAGAAGCTTGTAAAAACTTCTTTCAGTGAAAGAAGTGAATTATAGAGCTTAACTTTTTTGTCCGAAAAAAACGGAAAAGGATTAGAATCAAGTATGTATGAGATTTCTTTGCTTTAGAGTTCTATGACCAGTATATCAGTTAAAATAAGCATAATTAAGACATTTTGGGGAAAAGTAGATATATTAGTTGAATCCCAGTTATAACTATTACAGATTTTAGACATTGTTTATGATTCAAATTTTGTACTTCTAACCTAGGTATTCAGTTAACTCAGGAAAGGATTTGGATTGGTGCTTTTGTAGAGATGGAAGAAAATAAATAGGATTGCTTAGTTTGAAGCTAAAATTGAAAAGGAGAAACTATGTAAATAGAAAGTAAAATCTTTTCATCTTCAGTTCGGAGTTCTCAACTGCTTAACCTTAAATTTTATTGCTTTAATTATTAGCTCTTACAGTTCTGGCACAGCCTTAAAGGATAATGATATTATTATAAAAACTTGAGTATTTAGAACTATCTTACCATGTGATAAATACATTGGATAACTTAGAAGTTGTTGTGTTTGAGATTTAGACCTTTTGTTATTGTTTTTCTTAAGAATTTGAGATTTTTAAATACCCATTCATTATCTCTCAATTTTTGCTAAAGGGTTTCTAAGAAATTAGGAAGGAAATCACCCTTTTAAAATCAGGCAGATAGAATAAAATGAGGCGTTAAGAAATTTGGATATTTAAAACTTTGTTTAAAGTAAAAACTTTGGATTTATTTAGGGGACTGGATGAAGGTGTTTCTTGTACGTCAATTTATGAAAAGCATAGTGCAGGACTGACAAAGGGGATGCATGCCTACAGGTAATTTTTATCCAACTAAAGTTAGATCTATTCTCAAAGTTCCTAAATTCAGTAGTATATATAGTCAACCCATTAACATATATAGTTGTACATATTAACAAGTATTTAAATATTATAGACATAGTTGTTGAGAACTTATTGATATTTTATTTGAGTAAGACTGTCTCTCAGTTTAAGAATTATAAAAATGTTAAAGCTGATATTTTGAAGTTGATATCCCTGAAATTATATTTCATCAATTCTAAGGTGTATATTTTCCCATATTTTAACATCTCTGAAATTGGGTTGTGTCATATAATTTGTGGAGTTTCATCATTTACTTAACAGCATTTTGATATTTCTTGATCATAAAAGTAATGTTATGTCTTACAATTGGTAACATTTTGGATTTTCTGAAATATATGATTGAGAATGATAGGTATGAGTTCAAAATTACCACAATGAGAATTTGTAAATTGGGAGACATAATCTTTTTCATAGTGTTATTCTTTGTTAAGGCATAAAAATGTACAGGTGTAATGCGTATTTTAAAGATAAATGCCAACTTAAATTAGAAATTTTCTTATGCTTCTGCAGCATATTCTTTCAAATGGTTAGAACATAATAAAATTTACTTATTCAGACTTATACTACATAAAAGGCAGTAATTACTGTTTCACATGGAAAGTACTATTGTAACATAAGGAATTAAATGGAAGGATTTAAGCAACTTTTCAAAAGCATTTTTTTTTTTTTTTTTTTTAAAAGATGACCGGTAGGGCCGGCCCGTGGCTCACTCGGGAGAGTGCGGTGCTGATAACACCAGGGCCACGGGTTCGGATCCCATATAGGGATGGCCGGTTCGCTCACTGGGCGAGCGTGGTGCTGACAACACCAAGTCAAGGGTTAAGATCCCCTTACCGGTCATCTTTAAAAAAAAAAA